ATAATCGTATAAATGGTCCTAGTCCTCAAAGTGGGGAAGATGGAATCTGGCTCTGAGCATAAAGACAGGGGAGCTGCTTCAAAAAGCAAGGATAAGAAGAGATGCACATGTCCACAATTTGACATGATAATGAGTACTGCTAATACTATTTATAGCTCTATGTGTAGCATTGCAGTTTTTTTAAAGATACATAATACGATACTATAGCTTTTTAGATCATTTGGCATATTGATATTGTCCTTATAACACAAACATAATGGCATGAGGAAAAAATGGATATTGTTGTCATCTGTTTGAAGCCCTACAGAAACAACAAGGAAGCATGCATGGGCACCAATGTTAACTTTTCAATCAAGGGCTGAAAGATAACAATGAAACATTAACATTAAAAGGCATTAGCCCCCTCCAGTGAAATGCCGTGCTTGGGCCTCCCTGGCAAGGTAAGAAGTGAGTGAGTATGAGAAACAAGCAGGTCAGGGGCCAAAGGAGCTATTGCTCTGATGACCAGAGAAGGGAACGGTCCTTGTAAGCCCAGCCAGGAGAGGTGAACTGGGAATCGGTTGGTGTTTGGATGGCTCCATCTCACTGGATGTCCAGATTTCGCTTCTCCTGCTTAGTAGCTCATCATATCTAATCCTCACATTTCTGACCTGAACATTCACCCACACCTACAGAGCTGCTAGGAAAAGTAGAGCTTCATGACCGGAGAAACAACAGAGAATACTAACATACCAGTCCTACGAAACTATTAAAGAATCTTATTTGAGACTCCACAATCTGCTGGTTCTCTATGAAGATTTGATCTTTGTAATCAAATCGATTGCCAAAGACGACTGCACATATCACATTGGAAACAGCACTGGTAAGCCTTCTTCTTGGGTCAAAAGCCTGCCCTGCAAGAATGGCCACAGAAAGGAATGAGTGGGATGAGAGAATGCGGATCTTTCCTTCCACAAATCTCACCACAAAATTGGAACAAAAAACATTTCAGGTCAAACAGGTTTGAATAAATATCATTTCCTTCTGTCCTAAGAACTGAGTATGAATACTATTTAAAAATCCTATCACCTCTTTAACCAAGATACAAAATGGTGTTTCCACATTACACTCTGGAATCCACTAAGTATATATTCAAAGATTTTATGGGTAATTTTTGATAATAATATTAACTAAGCAGCAGAGCCTATGTGTAATTCAATGAAAACACAGACTATGTTACCACTAGAGCTTCTTCAGTCTCATTGTTGTCTTCCTCTGTCAAGAATTGTTTCCTCACTGCTGGGGGCTCCTTCCTCTACCTCTTTCTGCTCATGGCTGGTTTTTCCACTTTCTCCCTACCCTGTTTCAACTCTTTGAAAGCTCTGCTTTCCTTTTTAACTGAGCTCTCCTCTCTCTCTGCCCCTCTTTCCTCCTAATCTCTTTTTCCCCCTCTCCCTGTTTCCTCTTTTTCTCTATCTCTTTTTTTAAATAACCCCACTTTCTTTTCTTTCCATTTC